AGCCTCCAGGGCTTGCAGATGTCCGGTGACTTCTATCTGGTCCTTAGTGGTAGCCACACTACACCTGATGCCCTTGGACAGGAGGTAGGTGCAGGGTCACAGCAGAAAAGGTAAGTGAGGGGGTAGAAGGAGGTCTGCCATGGGGCAGAGAATCCACAAAACATAGGATGACTGGCATGGAGGGACAGTTGAGGCCTGCTGAGTGCCAGGTACACGTCACTGCCATGCCCCTCATGACAGCTCTGGCGTGTGCCAAGGGAAGTAAAGTCTGCAGGTGGTGAGGTGGATTTTCTCAAAAACTTTTGCAAGCACAAGCAGGCACTTTAGTGTAAACACTAAAGGGAATGTGCTCATTGAAGAGCACAGCAGATCTGTGAAGTCAGAGATGGTGCTGGGAAGGGAAGGGGTCCTGGTTGCTGCACATGTGTTTTGTAGCTCAGCCTTTTCACACGGAAGCAGGGTGCAGGACGCGAGTGTCCCCATGATCACACTTTGTAACAGGGTCAGATCAAGAGCTGCACTGTTGTCTGCTACATTACAGCAGCTTGGCCCTGAAGCCAGGAGGGGAAGTGAATGCAGAGCTTTTTCTTTCCTATACCTTGTTCCCAGCTTTGTAATTAAGGACTGCAAGAATAAACTTGCAGTGTCGTCACCTGCAAGGATCATAGAATCATAGAATCATAGAATAGTTTGTGTTGGAAGGGACCTTTAAAGGTCATCTAGCCCAATCCCCCTGCCGTGGACAGGGACATCTTCAACTAGATGAGGCTGCTCAAAGCCCCGTCCAACCTGACCTGGAATGTTTCCAGGGATGGGGCATCCACCACCTCCCTGGGCAACCTGTGCCAGTGTTTCACCACCCTCAGCATAAAAAATGTTTTCCTTCTATCTAGTCTAAATCTACCCCCCTTTAGTTTAAAGCCATTCCCCCTTGTCCTGTCGCAACAGGCCCTGCTAAAACGTTTGCCACAATCTTTTTTATAAGCCCCCTTTAAGTACTGATAGGCTGCAATAAGGTCTCCCCGAAGCCTTCTCTTCTCTAGGCTGAACAACCCCAACTCTCAGCCTTTCTTCATAGGAGAGGTGTTCCATCCCCCTGATCATTTTCGTGGCCCTCTTCTGGACCCGCTCCAACAGGTCTGTGTCTTTCTTATGCTGAGGGCTCCAGAGCTGGACACAGTACTGCAGGTGGGGTCTTACCAGAGCAGAGTAGGGGGCGGAATCCCCTCCTTCGACCTGCTGGCCACGCTTCTTTTGATGCAGCCCAGGGTACGATTGGCCTTCTGGGCTGCGAGCGCACATTGCTGGCTCATGTGCAGCTTTTCATCCACCCATTGGACCCATTCAAACCACACGCAGACTGGACCTGATTTCTCCCCCAAGTCCTTCTCGGCAGGGCTGCTCTCCATCCCTTCATCCCCCAGCCTTCCAAGGATCCCCCATCCCCCCAGGATGCCAAGAGTATGGTGAATGCAAAAAGACAAACTGTGGTGCATCAGCCCTGTACAGGTGAACTTCACAAACAGCAGGAACAGGTCTTTGCACCTGCCTTTGCCCTATATTTTGCACCTGCCTTTGCCCTATATGCCTCACCCTATATGAGCAGGGTCAGTTTGGCGCAGGGATCCAAGAGGAGGGATCTTTTTGGCAAGGAGTAATCAGGAAGCTGGAAAATCTGGAGGAAGAGATCTGGGGCCTTGAAGTCCAAACAGGAAGTTTCTGCTCCTGACATCCACTGGAAACGAAGACGTGGAAGCAGAGGGGCAGTTAGGCAACACAGTGAGTAGAGTTCTCACCATCGATAGAAGAGGCAGATGAGACACAAGGGAAAAACCTAATGCAAGGTCCCGTTGGAGCATGCGCATCAGGGTTATAAATCACTGTCTTTGTCAAGTAACAAAGGGAGAAGTGTCAGGTGCTGAGGGAACAGCCAGATGAAAGTACTGCTCCCTCCCCATCCATAGCCTGACACAGTACCTCCATTAGGGTGGGGAAGGGGCTCTGGGATCCTTCCCATGAACAACTTGTGTGGTGATGGCCTGGAGCAGGCCCCAGTGAAGGCAGAAAGTGAGCAGCGATAGACCAGTGCAAGAACCATAAGAACAGCTGCCCAGCTTGTCCGCCTCCTGCCTGAGCAGGCAGGAGCTAGACCTGTCTATGGGATGCAGAAGAGGTGCAGCCTTGAAGGGGCACGGTGAAGGGGCTGTTACAGTGAGAAGACAGGTACCACCCTGCAATGTGGGAGCCATCCCAGCTGATATATCCTGCTGTCTCTTCCAATGTTTCTCCTGCAATCATCCATAGCACACACACACACACTGCCCCAGAGAGACCAGGGCTCACTGCACTCTAAAATCCCTCAGTCTTTTGGGTGAGAGTATGAGCTGGGGTGTTTCTGTTTCTGGAGAGAGTCAGAACCTGTCCAGACAGCAAGCCACAGCAGACGTCATATGCCATCCCTCTTGCCAGCCCTCCCCACTCACCTTGCTCCGCAGCAGCCCTCCGCTCGGTCGCTCTGGCGTGCTGTGCTCCGAGGATGGCTTTGTCTTTTCCTTGTTGTTGTTGGAGTCGTTGTCCTTGATGATGTCATACTGTCTGCAGAAGAGGGCGATCACCGCTGCCGAAAGACAGGGGATGAAGGACTCTCTCACACTGGCTGCCCCCTGCCTCCCCTCCCCACAGCATCCCAGCTGGACAGCAGTCAGGCCCAGGGCACCCTGGCATGCTGGTCACCCACACCCGCCACCTGTGTCAGCCTGGACCACCCCAGGTACTTCTGCACGTGTGGCCAGGCCAGTCTCCTTGGCAGATGAGGCACAGATGCAGCTAAAGCCATCAGGGCACACGTGAGGTGTTTGGTGCCTATGGCTCAGGGCTCTGAGGCCAAAGGCACTCGGAGAGGGACAGGCCTTGAGGTCAGTGAGCAGCTGAGTGGATTTCTGAGTGCCTCCAGCAAGGTACTAAAGTTATTGGTCCAGTGCTTGCAACCCTCACAAAAGCCAGCCCTTGGCTTTGTCCTATCTTTCAAACTGACTGTGGGGTCAGTCACTCCGTCATGGTTTTACAGCACCCATCTCACCAGCACGTCCCACACCTTGGGACCCTGGACGCAGGACTCTGGAGCAATGCTTTGAACTGTAATCATTACATGTGTTGGACCCATTCAAACCACACGCAGACTGAACCTGATTTCTCCCTGTTGGCACTCTGACACACCAACCTGCACAAGGTGTAAGCTAGGAGCAGCCATCTTGTATTTTCTTCCAGTGCACTAGAAAATTGTTCAAGGCCAGAACAAGGAGAGATTCCTGCAAGATGCCACTAGAAAATCCACATTTACTGGGAAGGGAGTAGAGGACAAATGACTACCCATTCACAGCAGCTGCATGTGACCAGTCAGGAGCTGACTGTTATCTCCTAGGCTTCCTTTCTCCCAGGGCAACCTGCTCTTTGCTAGAGCATTGGCTTTAATCAGGTGCTGTACAGGAACAAATCACCCATCTTACAGTTTTAGCAGATTGAGGCACAGCCACTGCCAGCCAGTGCAGCAATGTTATCAGATGTCAGACAAGCTAACTAAGGCCCAAGTTACATAGTAGTTAATGTCAGCTGGGATGCTCCCACCCTGTAATTCTGTATTGCTTGGGTCTCACATTGTTTGCCGTTCTTCCAGCACAGCAGACAGGCCAGCCAGCCCACATGCTCCAGGCCGTCACTGCTGAGCAGTGGCTGCGGTTGCTCCTTTTACCCCACTGGCTCGAGATCCTACAGACTCAATGGACTTACTGGAAAGGATGTCAGACCCATACCAATATGCCTCTGCACTCTCTTGAGCCCCATCCTCTCTGTGGACCCTGGATTGCACCTCTGTCCCAGCCTGCTGGAACATTGCTTGTGGCACTCACCTGCCCACATGAGCAGCACAGCCACGATGATGATAATCTCGCCTGTCTGCAGCTGCCTGTCTTTGTCCAGCCCTTCCATGGTGATATCACCTGCAGCGAAGAGAACCCAGGCAGGGCTGGCAGCAGATACCCTCCCACCAGAACCTACTTCAGGACCAGCAACACGTGAGGATCTGAGAAGGAGCTCCAGAGGAGAGCGGCCCACCTCCCCCAAACAAGGACGGGTGTGGGATGACATCTTGGCTGGGGAGAGGACATGCAGCCTGTGGCTTTTCTGTGTCAGATAAACTATCCTCACTACCAAAGGCAGTCAGATATTCTAATAGCTTATTTGGGTTCAAGTAGGGATTGCACAATTCATGGGAGTAATCACTGAAGTTACTCCCTATGTAGGGACCAGGGCAGGTTAGGAAGGCCCCAAGTTGAACACAAAAGTTCTGAGGAAAGTAAGCCATCTGCTTGCCCTGTTATACTCTTCTCAAGTCCCCCTCTTATGGCTAGTGCTGGAGACAGACTCCTGTGCCCAGTAGACCCCCTCTGGGCATCATCTCTCTTGGATTCTTGGATCATTTCTCATGGACCAGCACGTAGGCAACCCCAAGGCAAGAAGGCACAACATGGATATGGGTACGAAAGGAGACTGTGGGGCTCCGTCATTTGTCCTTTGGTAGCTTGCAGGCTGGAAGATCTGAGAGCCTGTTCAGTATTTACTTCCTGTGGGCAGCAGCTGAGCAGGCCACAGCAGTTGTCCTGGCCACAGCCTGCTTAGCTGAATAAGGTGCCAAGACCTGGGATCTCCTATCCCTGGCTGTAAACCAGGGCTTGGGGACATTATCATGGCCATAGTGGACACAACAGCAGCCTGCTACCTGTTATGACCCTCTGTGTCCCAAGCAGCCCGTGTGCTGTGGAGACCTCCAGGTGTGCCTCACCAGCAGCACCTGGGCGAGCTGGAAGGAGCTGCCTCACCTTGGTTGGAGCTGTTGGAAGGGAGGCGGTCGGTCTCCTTCAGGGTCCGGAAGTGGACACGCTTACTGGCCTGGCTTTCCCCATACAGGCCGATGCTCTGCACCTGGATGATGTAATCAGCATCCTCCGCCAAGTCCCACAGTACGCAGGCCCGGTTGGTGGTGTTCACCTCCCGGATGAAGCGCTGCATCTGTCCATCTTGCCGCTGCCAGAGTGAAGAGCTGTCATCCCCAGGAGACTGTTCCCAGCTGCACCAGGCACAGGCCCCTGTCTGCAGGGCTGTGCTGGGCACACTGCCCTTACTCCTCCCTTCCCAGGCAATCATCCACCCCTGGGGTGGGCCAGGCTGGCCAGCACTTTGCTATGCAGCATCCCTGTGTTGCCTAAGAGTCAGGCACCTCCCTGGAGAAGCCACCATTGTCTGGGGCTGTGGAGGCAGAGCAAGGCAAGCAAAGAAGGGTTATGTCATGGCTGAAGCACCATCCTTATCCAGAGAAATCACAGGGAAGCCACTGGAGGGCCAGCTACCCTCAGAGCAGCCCACGGTCTGCTGCCTCCCACCAGGATGGATGGCTCAGACAGGGTGCCCTGGCAAGGGCTGCTTAACAGCAGAGGTGTCCTCAGGCAGGTGCCAGAGGAGCTCCAAACTGTGGCAAAAGGGATGACATGGGAGCATGCTGGTAATCAGTGAGAGGGGTCCCCAGTCCCCTTGGGACAGAGCCTGGATACCTGCTGTAAGATGGCATAGCCGATGACCACATCTCCTTCTGGGACGTCCCAGGAGACTGTGGCAGAGTTTGCCTTCAGCTGCGTCACAGTCACGTTGACAGGGGATGGTGGCCTGTCTGGGTGAGCCAGGGATGGACCGAGGCAAGGCACAGGAAAGAGGCAAAAGAAGATGTCTCAGAACAGGCACTCGCCCCTGCACACCACCACTGGGGGCATCTCCAACATCTGCCCATGGCAACACATTGGCCAGAGCTACAGGGAGCAGCTTCTCTGGTGAGTCTGTCCCCAGGAGAGGAGTGGCACAGGAGGTGCACAAGGCTGAGCCCCTGCCGGCAGCAACACATGCACGGCATGGTGCTTAGTGGGCTAGTGGGCAGCTGCCCACTGTGCGTGGGAGGTGTGCAGGCACAGAGCTACTCCCTGCCTGTGCAGCTACCCCCTCTGTGGCACCCGCTGGCTTTGGCAGTCTTCGCTCGCTGGCCAGGATTTCTCCCTGCCTGGCTGTTGGCGAGAAATGTGCTCACTGCACACCTCACCCTCTGCAGTGTCCTACAGTAGGGAAGGAGGACAAGCTCATGAGGCATCTGACTGGCTCTTCTCTAAAGGGCTTGCTTGCAGTGGCAGACATAGCCCATTGCTCATAATACATGTTCCATGTAAAAGGGATTAGCAGTGCTGACCACATGCCCAGGCTGCCAGACCCAGCTAAGGACATGAAGGGCCACCAGTAGGCTCCTTCCACCTTGCAGACATTGAAATGGGAAATGCATGAAGGCCTGTCCTGAGCAAAAAAGAATTACAGAGTTTAAGAGACTGTCATGGCAATTTAACCAGTCCCTGCAGCTCAAAATCACATGAAAAGAGAAGTCCCTGCAGCCTGTCTCAGAGCACTGCAGAGACCCTGCTATCAGAGAGGAGAATGACATTCACATCAGCTCTTCACAAGGGCACCTGCTTGCAGATCTGAGGTACCTTCACTGCTGCTCAGATGTTCATCTGTTGGAAAGTTTACTTCATTCAGCTCCAACACTAGCAGAAGCAGGGCTGCCTGGCATGACATGCTCCTGCTCAGCCTGGGCACAGAGTAGATTCTTGGCAGGGAAGTCCCGTGTTTCTGTAGGTCCAGAAAGTCCAAACAAATCCTACATTAATGCAATTCTTCAGCCAAGACTGCAATGGTAAAATCAGGCTCCTGTAAGCTCTGGGGCTGCCCCGTGGATGCGCACATCACAAATGCCTGGCACACCACCCAGAACTGCGTAGGAAGCAGCCCAGACACAGTATTTATATATCAACTGTGACAGAAAAATGGGGCAGCTTGGAATAAACACACTATGCAACTCAATCTGGCCATCTCATCTGCCTGGCATTACTCCCTGCTCTAGAGTGGGAAGGAAAGCCCAATGCAGAAGGCAGAGCTGACTTTCCCAGCAGTGCAATGCCATCGGCTGCGAAGCTGGCAGCAACACTCAACCGTTGCTATCCTTCAGAAAGCTGGCCTGGTTGACCCACAGTCTGCAACATCACCATTTTGAGATTTCACAGCACTAAGAGCATGGCAGGATCCTACACAAGTACACAGACCTGCATACAAAGCTAAATTTTGTCTGGAAATTAGACACAGGAGCGCATGAAGAAAGACAGAGGCTGCTGTTCGTGTGTCCTCTCTCCCTGTAAACAAGACAATGTCCTTCTACAAGCTTCTTGTGCAGCACAAGTTCAATCCTGTGATTTATATAGATAGAAAAAGAGCCCCAGAGGGCACCTGAGAACAAGAAAAAAAAACAACCGTAGACACCAACAACAACCACAGTTAGAGTGACAAGGAAAGGTCATTTCTGCAGGTCAGCTATTTAAATGCATTCATTCACATTTGAATATACTCAGCTCCATGCCAGATCTAACCAGGAAAAGGCTGTGATTCCTAGCTCAGAAATGCAGGTTTGTGTTCGGCCACAGGTGACTAAGACAGATAGGAGTGTCACCCCCACAGAGCCCAGAAAACACATTCTCAGAGACACACTGGGTCTAAGCGCATCCCAAACAGAACCCTGCCACATCAGCAGGAGATAGTCATTGGAGACAACACAAACAAGGACATCACAGGATGCTGCACCCTCTCTTCCAGAACAGGAGGCTGGAAAACTGGAAAGGATTCAAAGATACACTTGAACATCCTTTATCTCATGAAGAGTGTGCCTCCTTAGAGTTTTGCCAGGGAGACTCTGGTTCATCACTCTAACCTGTGAGAGGGAGTCTCTGAGCCATGTCCTTACCCACACATCCTGGTCTCCCACAAGCCAACAGCAAAACAGTCTGAATAAAGCTGCACTCCCCAGACCTGGCCACTGACTGGGGCATGTGTATTCTGTGTGCACAGGAGCTGAGCTCCCCACAGATGTGGTCTGGTTTTCTGCTCCAGCCACAGCCAGTGTGCAAGTTAGTTGCACAACTAACAGCTGAGCTGTAGACAGCACCCTGTCAGCTAGCAAATAACCACTCCCTTGCACTGTCCCAGGCAGAAGCATTTCAAAGTGTGTGTGCATTGGGGGGCTGCAATGTTTCTGCTAGCCTTCAAGTATAAGAAGAACAGTTGTTCAAGGCTACTACTATGGTAGCAAATGCAATGAGGTCAGGAACAGCCCGAGAATCCAGTGGTGGAGACTGGTCCTGGGAACTGCTTTGGTCTGAACCAGCCAGCATGTGCCCAAACCACTCTTGGGCATGGCTCAGAAGTTAGCATGAGCCATGAACCATTCCTAGTAGTTAACACTGATGTGCTCCCCTTTTTGAACTCATGAGTTTAGTGCTATGGATGTGACCAGACCCTGCCAGCTGGCCTCAGGACAAGAACAGGACCTGGTGCTTCACAGGATACATCTACGGTAATAAATTAGGCAGCTTTTTATATCTGACAGAACGAGAAGAGGTCTGAACATGCCCAAAGTGGGCAGTTGGACTTGCCAACTTTTCAGTGCATGTAGGAAATTAAAGGCAGGGTCTGACATCTCTGCGACGTAGAAGTCTGTAGATGGAGCTTATAGCAGGCTCCCTGCTCTGCACAAGAATTTTCTAGGCTTCTGCAGAGACCCAGGCCTGACCTAGCCCAGGTTTTCAGGCTGGGGATGCTGAGACATGGCCCTGGGGCTGAGTCACTCTATGATTTGAGAACAAGGGCACTGCACTGAACCATGAGCCATGCTTCTGGGTCCACACGGGGCTGACAGTATTGCTTGAACTGTACTCAGCCAGAGCTTGCACAGACCGTGTGTAGAGACCTTCACTCACTGGCAGCAGAAGGGCATCCCAGGGGGATACCACCCTGGTATCAAACTGCAAAGACAGTACACTCCAAGCCAGCATGATCCGCTATTACACCCAGAGCCAATCCCCAAATGTCCCAAATAGAGAGAGGGGAGAGCAAGAGCACATGGAGGCACAGCAGAGCCACAGTGTGCATGGCTAGTCAGTGCTTCAGACCTCATGCATCGTAAACACACTTTGTGCAGGCTCCAGGCAAGCAGACCTGAACCTGTGTGACAGTGAGACCTGAAGGTGTCAAGGCTGCAGTTCTTCATTGGAAAACTGAGTGTCCCTCGGTCAGTTTGTGGTTCAGCAAACTGCAGAAAAGACATTTCTGACCACATGGGATTTGCATGCCTAGCAGGAAGAGACAGGACAAGAAGTTTCAGAAGTCGAAACCAGAGAAGTTCACCCTAGAAACACGGGGCAATGTTTAATCCCAAGGATTTGCAAGATGAGACCTCACTGAAAGTCGTTATGACAAGACCTCCAAAGGACAGCTCACACCATAGAAAGCTTTTCATATGATCCCCACATTAAGCCTAACGTTCTCCAGCCTGCTCTGCAGCTGAGGTCAGAACAGTTTCATGCCAGAGCTATTGCCATAAAGATCTGTGAGTGCAAGGGCTCCAAAAAATGTACTCTCTGAAGCCAACTATTAAAAACATTCCTGTAAAGCCAAGATGGTCCAACACCCTGCTGGGCTCTCTGGGAAAAGCATGTCACAGTTAAGCCCTGCCCAATACATTAATCGCTAATGATTCTGCATCATTTATAAGTTATCCAGCTTCACTTTTGATTAAAGCCATACTAAGAAGTGGGCACCACCACAGAAAGAGCAATCACTTAGTTAAGGCCTGGTGCACCCTTTTGTCCTGTCAGTACAGCAGTGCTTCCTTTCAGGCCTGCTGAAGAGGTGGGAAGAGTTGATCCTGTGTGCTGGAACCAGCAGCACTGCAGCCTGAGGTAGGGCAGCGTGGAGGGCTGACCTGTGGGCAGCTGAGCACTGGACTAGATCTGCCATGCAACCTGGCTTTGTAGGTTAGAGAAGAGGCCAGACAGATGCCCCTCAAGAGTGATGTTGGCAGATGTGGCACTGCATAGGGATGGGGCACAGCCCCACTGGTGCCCTCCCCATCCTGCTATGACTCTGGAGAGGGGACCTCACCTGCCCTTTGGCCTATGTCCTTGGGACTGCTGCTCAAGGGCACCCAGATGTTTGCCCAACTTATCCCTGCAGTAGGGAGGTAAGCATCAGACTGCGCATCTAAAAATAAGTGGCCCCTTTTTAACAACCCTGACTGCATTTCTTCCTGCATCCGTCAGGCCCTGGAGTACATATTTTGCAAGGAGACTGAAAACATGGCAGAACATATCAGAACATGTCTGATACTTGCAATTCAATTTGATACATCAGTAACCTGATAAGGGGCAAATAGACAGCAGAAGGCTTCCACTGACACATGGTCATTCAGACAAGTCAGGGGAAGAAAGGACAGAGGTACCCTGGGTGCCAACAGACACCAGTGTCTTAGCAAACACCAGCCCAGAGAAAGCAAGGCAGGAACGCCTGTCAGCCAGGGACCAGCTCACAGCCCAGCCTACAGCACTGGAGCATCCATGCCCAGGGGCATTAACTCTCTCAGGACTCGCTGCTAATTGGTGAGGGGCAAAGATGGGAAACGGGGAGGCCCTCCTCCACGGGGGCACAAGGAGAGCCCGCGTTTCCCCACTGCCTCGCCTAGAAGTGGAAGGCTTCAGGAGCCAAAGCCGCAGGCAGCGACTCCGGGTGCTCCGGGGAGAGCGTGGTGCCCTCCACGGAGGACAGCACGGCCACACGATCGCTCCCCGTCCCACGGGGAGGGGACGCGACCCGGCCAAAGGCACGGCTGGCTTGGAGGCCACGGTGCCACGGCGCCGGGCGCAGCCCCGGCGGGGTTGCCCGGGGTCCG